GGTATTTTTAACAGGTGACACCGGGGTGAAAGCAGCCAGCCCTGAGTGAGCTTGGGGGCTATTTTGGGCGGGCAGAGCACAGGAGGGGGCGGCAGGGGCTGGGGCAGCTGCCGAAGCGCCGTGGCTCCGTGGCAGCCGGGATCCTCGGGCCAGCAGGAGAGGTCAGCTGCCACTGCCCAAATTCTCCACGGCTGTTTCATCCTCTCCAAAATACTCGGCTGACAGGGCAGGACTTGCAAAACACACACCCCCCTCCTCCGAAATCCATATAAATAGTACTCGCCCAACGGCTGGAAGGTTAGAGAAGTTTCTGGGCTGCAGGCTCAGGCATTTATTGGAGCTCTCACCCAGGAGCAGCAGGGAAAGTTGCACATAAAGTGCTGGAGAGTGAGAACTGAGAGAGAAGCTTTTTAATATCAGGATATTTGGGTTTATTAATTTTTTTTCTCTCTCCTGACAAGAAGTTTTATTTTCCTCTCCCCAGTCCTGGGATCGCAGCCAGACAGGAAGCGTTTTCTCGCGGCCAGAGAGCTCCCTCCGTCCTTCCTGCGCTCCTCCAGCTCCCGGTGATTCAGCCTGAATTGATTTTCTCATCGTCCTTCACCTGGTGCCGGGAAGGAGGGACCGTCCCCGCGCACCCGCGTCCCGCCCGGGGTGGATGCGTCTCCTCCGGGACAGGCTCCCGGGGGAAGTTTGCAGCCAGGAGCAGCCACACAGAGGCTGAGGCTCGGTGTGAGAGCCCCGGGGACACGCTCGGACCCCTCCGAAGGAAGCCATGGCCGACAGCCAGATGCCCTTCTCCTGCCATTATCCCGGCAGGCGCAGCCTCCGCGACCCTTTCCGGGAGCCCGGCCTGACCTCGCGCCTGCTGGACGATGACTTCGGCTTGTCGCCCTTCCCCGGGGATCTGACGGCGGACTGGCCCGACTGGGCTCGGCCCCGGCTCACCACCACCTGGCCGGGCCCCCTGCGCGCCGGCCTCGGCCGCACGCCCCCCATGGCCCCCGCCTACGGCGCCCACTTCGGGGGGTACCCCGAGAGCCGCAGCCCCGCGCCCTTCCCCCGCGAGCCCTGGAAGGTCTGTGTCAACGTGCACAGCTTCAAACCCGAGGAGCTGACGGTCAAAACCAAGGATGGCTACGTCGAGGTGTCAGGTGAGAGCCAAGGCACCGGGGAGGTGGCACTGCCAGCTCGAGGAATTGCTGCAAAATGCCAAAATCGCCTTTATTTTAAGGCGGTGGCAGCAGCCCCGTGCTTGGGAGCAGGGGAGGGCTGCAGCAGGGCTTTGGGGCATCTCCAGAGGCAGTCTGGGTGTCACGGGGGGATCTGGCTCACAAGCCGTGGTGGTTTGCTGCCAAAATGAGAAAGGACACGTGTCCTTTGGGGTAAATCTCCCTGCTTTCTGCCCTGGCTGGCAGCACCCTGTGCGAGCAGCCAAGAGGGGCCCCAGCTCTGCTCGGTTAATTATAGCCAGGGTGAGGTCGGCACGGAGGGAGATTCCCTTTAAAGGGGCCGAGGGAGAGGCTGGGAGGAAAGGAGCAGCTGCTCACAGCCCCCTGCCCAGCCCGGCTGAGTCGGCCAGAAACTGAGCCGTGAAAAGTCAATTAATGTCAGGAACAGTGGGTGGGGGATCCAGCACTTTTGGGGTGCCCACGGCTGCCCTCAGTGTCCCATCAGCCTGGCACTGACATTCCCCATTGTCCCTGGGTCCTCCGGGCTGGGATCACCAGGGAGGGCTGGGAGCTGCCACCTAACACAGCTCTGAGTGTTTGTTTGGAGCTCACTGCAGCACAGGGGGAAAGCCACAGGTCAGGGGTGCCCAGGCAGCCTCTGGCTGATGCTCCAGGTACAGGGACCCCCAGGCTGACTGAGGGGTGGAAAGAAGCCCATCCTTGGAAGTGAGACCAAGGTGGATGCTGCCACCTACAATGGTTTTATTATTTGTTTATTTTCTTAAGCCCCAGTTCCTGGCAGCCTGTGAGACCCCAGTTTTCCACTGGAAATGTGGCTGTGCTGTGTCTAGCATCTCCTTCCCCATACGGAGAAGTTTCCTGAGCCCTCCCCAGAGAAAGAGTTTGCACTGGGGCAGGGAAACAGCTGCTCGGAAAACTTCCGTGTTGGGTTTAGTTGTTGTTGTTTGTTGGGGAAAAAATAATCTCCTGGTAAGGTGCTGATGTGGGGTGTTGGCCTTCCCTGCAGGCAAACACGAGGAGCAGCAGGTGGAAGGAGGGATCGTCTCCAAGAACTTCACCAAGAAAATCCAGTAGGTACCGGTCGGCCCGGCCGAGCTCTGCCAGTCCCCGCACCCCAGCTCACACACGTTTCCATCCCAAAATCTGCCCTTCTGCAGCACGTGCCGGGCCGGGCCACAGAGTGATTTCCCAAGGGAAGGGAAGGAGGACGAGGCCTTTTTTGAGGCGCTCTGTCAGTCTCCTGCACGCCCGGGGCTGCATCTGGGGCCGGCCGGGGACAGGGACAGGAGGGCTGCGGGGAGGAGGCGTCCCCGGGGAGCAGCGGGCACGGCGGGCGGGCTCCACCGCAGCCCGGAGCACATCCCGGCATATCCCCGCATCTCCATGATGTCAGTGAGATCGCTATCGCGTTGACTCACCCGTGGCTCACTTTGGCAACAACAACCGCAAAGGCGAGCCCCGACCGATGTGGGGGGCAGATCCCACCCGCGGGGCTCGCACGGTTAACAGGGAAAAGCATCAAAGCCCTGGGCATGGGAAGGGTTTCCTCGGCTGGCAGCAGCTCAGCTTTGCTTTTCCACCCTGAAGGAGCCCTGTGCATCCCGAGCTCCCACGGGAGCGCTGGGGGAGCACCGCTCGCTCGGGCTCCTTTTACGGGCAAGGCTGGCGGCTGACGCGGGCTGCGCCCGGCCGGGTTCGCTCCGCTCCGCACCCGCGGCGCTGACATCCCGTCAAACACATCTGCCGGGAGATTAAACAGAGCTCCCACGGGGGCCAGGCCGGCCAGGCGCCCGCTCGAAATATCCCCCGCACATTCCCAGGCGCTCCAGTAATAACAGAGGCTTTGCCGGGGCTGCTGCCTCGGCACCGCTGGGGGTCCGGGGGTCGGGATCCATCGGGGATGCAGCATCCTAACCCATCGCGTCTTTCCTGCCCCCCTGCAGGCTGCCCTACGAGGTGGATCCCATCACGGTGTTCGCCTCCTTGTCCCCGGAGGGGCTGCTGATCATCGAGGCGCCCCAGATCCCCCCCTACCAGCAGTTCGGCGAGGGCGGCAGCGGCAGCGAGATCCCCGTCGAGAGCCAGGAGGCCACCTGCACCTGAGCAGCCACCCGCGGCCCTCCGCGCCCCGGCACCCCGTCCCGTGTCCCCTTCCCCGCTCCCCGGTCCCCTGCGGCGCGGCGTCCTGACAGCCTCGGGCAAGGGTGACGGGTGCCGCTCGCTCGCAGGGATGGCAGCACCCGCCACCCCAGCTGAGAGCCGGGGCACGCACCGGGTGCCAGGCCACCGCCCCTGAGGGCTTCTAGCGGTCTGAGGTGCCGGGAGAGATTTTGTGCCCACGGGGCCAAGCAGAAAGGATGCTCCTCCTTACGGTTATTGTTTGTTCCGAGTCGCTCGGATGGGATATTTATAACAATAGCAAAAAAAGGGCCTGTTTTTTTCTTTAAAATTGACATGGAAACCTGTAGCTCTGTGTCTTTTCCTCCTCCATGAATTGTTTTCTTTTTTTTTTTAAACTACATCTCTGCGAAGGACACGCGTCCGGCGGCGGAGCTCGATGGAGTGACCTCCATCCTGAGAAACGGTCTGCGTGCTTTGAACGTTGGTTTGGGGTTTTGGTGTTGGTTTTTTTTCCTTATTTCTAAAGAGAATTTGTGCTTTTACTTGTCAGACCTGAGGAATAAAACCCAGTTGATGTTCTTAGCCTGTGCTTGTCTCGGCTGAGCCGGTGGGGTGGGCGTAGGGCATGGGAGGGTGGTGGGGACGAGGGCAATGTCACCATGTGCCACCTCCCAGCTTGGCACAGGTCATCCCCATGAAGGCAAGGACAAGAGAGATGTGTGGGATGCCTGCACTGATGGGGGAATTCCAAGTCCCAGCTAGCACTGTGCTGGGGAGGCATTGGGCCTGCCAAGGACCATGGGCTCATCGTGTCCTAGGCCCTCAAGGGGTTGAAAATGTTCTTCCTGCATGGGGATGCTAAACCAGGCTGTGAGTTGGGAAAGTTTGGTTTGCCCCATCCCCACTTCCATCTCACCATGGCAGCTCCCCACCTGCAGCTCCCCAGGGAAGCACTTCCCACTGGAATGGCAAATGGTGTGTTCTGGGCACAGCCTTAAAACCATTCCTAGGGGCAAAGCCCATTTGCTAACCCACTGCAGTGCCTGGGCTTAGCAAAGCCGAGCTGTCGATGGGAGGCAGGAAATTTTCCATCAATCTGTGCAGCACCTGGGCCAGGCACCCAGTTTTCCATGTCACCAGGACCTCAGAGTTAAAAATACAGCTTCACGTGTTCGCTCTGGCTCATTTGAGAGGTGGTTACCAACAACACCCACCATGTGCTGCAAACCCTGGCCCAGCACCGCGTGCCACGAAGGCACCCACGTTCCAGGTGGTGGAGGGGAACCTGGGCACTCTCACCCACTTGTGCAGATTATATTTAACTTCCAGCAGTTGTTCCAGAGCTGGGACCCCCCGATGGTGCAGAGCACAGCCAGCCCCAAGCTCAGCCTCTGTGGCTCTGCCAGGCACAGCTGTGAGCACAGCAATTTTTATGAATAAAATATAATCCCCGAAATGTGATACCCACACTGGCATGGAATGCCAAAAAGTCATGAGTCACAGCTCCAGCCCTGTGTCCTTGTGCCACTTGGAGCCGTCAGGCCCTGTGGGTGACACCTCTCCAGCACAAATTGTCCTTCCTCTTCCTCACCCCTTCAGAGAGTTATTTTTATCAGACTTTTGAATTTTGAATTTTTTTCCCCTTTCGTAGAAGGACCCCAGGGGTACCTGGGGACACGGTCAGGCTCAGCACCCTGGCTGGAGGTCCCTGCACCCATATCCTGGCCCTGCACCCCTCTCTGGCACAGGATGGTTCCCTGAGCAGGGCTGCAGGTGCAGGGGACCAGCTGTGACTCCACAGGGAGCTGCCAGGGGGGAATGAGCCACTGCTGAGCCACTCTCCCATCCCGGGGTGTTTGGGGAGAGCCCCAGGCTGATGCAACACCAGTGCTGGGACAAAGGAGCTCCAGGCTCAGCTTTGGGGCTGCTGCACTCACACAGCAGCTCCTGCTCTTGTTCCTGCTGATCCTGCAGTTTGGGGTGAGTTTTGTTTTTCTTTAATAGCTTTTTTCTTTATTTGGTTCTGCTTTCTGATGAATTCCTTAATAGAGTATTATAAAAGCTGTTGTCAGCTGCATTAGCAATAATTTCCTAATGGCTGGGGTTGGCATTGGCAATTAGCACTAAGGACCTCTTCCATGGGCAGCGTGCTCGGGCCTGTGCAGACAGCAGCTTCCCAAGCTCTTGGATGGTCTGGAGTATCACATCCTAATGAAATAATTGTAACTGGAGATCCGGAGGCTCTTTTCAAGTATGATCTGATTATCTCTGCAAAGGAGGTTTTAAACAACTAATCCCTACTGGTGTTTCTGCAAATGCAAAAATCGGTTTGGAAACACTGGGGCACTTCTGCACCAGCCTCTCCTCCGTGTCTGAGGAGAGGGAATGGGATCTGTGCCTTTCTGGGGCTCCAGGAGGAGCAGAGCTGGGGCTGCTGGGGGCTGGGAGCAGTTTGCTCACCCTCCCTCGTGCCAGCCCTGTCCCAATCATTCCAGGAGGACAGTGCTCCCTTTTTTCTCCTGGAGCAGCATTAGACTCACCAATATCCACATCATCCAAGTGAATCCAAATGAATTTCAGTGCTGAAGGAGACAGAGGAACCATCCTGATCTGGTCTTTCACATGCTGCTCTTGGAGCAGCACTGATGCTGCCAACACAGCATCCTGGATGGGGAGGAGACAGGAGCAGGTGCTTGGAAGATTTTAATCTTTTTTTCTTTCTAAGAAGCCTGTTCTGATCAAATACACAACCACATCTGAAAGAGCTGGTGGGATTAAGCAGTTGAATGCTGGGCAATTTGTAACTGGCACTGGTGGGGCAGGAGAAAGGAGAGTGCCTGTTCCAGGAGAGGAATTCTGGGGTTGGGGCTGAGGAGGAAATCCAGCAGTTCCTGGTGCATCTCAGGACCATGGGCTTGCAAGGCTCCCTCTTAGGAGTCCCAGCAAAGCTCTCCTGGGCAGCTGGAGGGAAATGTGGGTAGTCCATGCAGCTTTTTTTTTTGAGTTAAGTTTTTGGTGATCCCTCCCGCAGCACAAGTGGGTGATTCCAAGTGCTGCCAACACAGAGCTGGAATGGGCTGGTGGGAAGGGCTCAGCACCATGAGATAAGGGGCTACATCATGGGAAACTGGCCTTGGAGGACCTGCTGCTCCAACTGGCTGCTGTGAGGGGCTGAAGGACGTGAGGAGATAAGGATAAGGTCACCCAAGCCGTGGGAGAGCTCTGCAGCAGCTCGGTGGCAGGAGGCTCAGTAACCTCCTGCCTGTGTCCTGCTGTGTGTCCCAAGAAGCTGTGGAGCACCTCCTGCCCCCTGCATGGCAGGGACATGGGCAGTGGGCCCATGGGGTTCCGAGTCCTGCTTACATCCCACCAGGCTGGGATGGGGAGCACGTGGCTCCCAGCAGAGCACCAGCTCCCAGCCTGTCCCAGAGGATTTATTTTCCTAAAATGGAAGCAAAAGCTGAATTGATTTATTTTGGTTGGCAGAATGTGGAGCTGGGTAAATAATCCACAAGAAGCTCCAGAGCTGTCCAGATCCACCAGGCACCTCCAGAGACCCGATCTCTTTTCCTAGCAGAGCAGGGTTCATCTGATTTTCCAAGTGCCCAGCCCCTGTGGCAGAGCTGTGGCCAGTGGCCAGCACAGCAGCTCCCAGAGCTGTGTCCATCCCTGCTCTGGGGAGCACCACCATCACTAACTCATGTACCCATGGGCTGGCTCACCCTGCAGGGATGCCCTTGATGTCTCTCACTGCTCCCTGATGGATCATGCTGTGGGGTCCTGGGGTACCCACAGAGACCCCTTTGTTGTTTCATGGGGTTGTTTGTGCTTTCCAGCCCCTCTGGGAGCCTCTGCACATGCAGGAGCCCAGCCTGACTTCCTCCAGCATGCTCCTCCTCAGTCCCTGGGGCTGCAGAGCTCCCTGGCCCCCCAGGACACGTGCAGCTCTCCAGGCTCTCTCCTGGCAGCTGCTCCTGTTCCTGTTCCTGCAGTGGCTCCAGCTGGGTTTGCACGGGGGATTTGCTGTAACACTTCCAGGAGTTTCTCCTTCCCAGAGCCCTCCAGAGCATCCCTGGCTCCCCAAGGGTTTCTCACTATTTCTCACACAAATCTCAGCTGCTTCAGTTCAAGCCAGTCCCTTTTCCCTGAGAAAATATCCTGTAACCACCCAGGTGTTTCTCTGCTGTAGCTGAAGCCATTTGGGGGTTTTCATGTTTCTCTTTGGGAGTTTCTCCTCCTTTGGATGTTTTGCTTCCATGAAGTTTTTGTCTCTACTTGCAAGGCAAATCTCATCTGCTTTATTTTGGATGTCTCCAAAGGGAACTTGGCCACGTGATGTCTGTGGGGACGGAGAAGCAAAAACTTACTTTTTTTTCTAATGGAAGAGCCCAGTGTCACAGAAATAGCCCACCTGACCAGATGGCCTTTCTCTTCCTTCCAAATTAAAGGCTGGAAAGCCATGAAATGGCCCAGCCACCCCTGGGAGCAGATCAAGTAAGTTCCTGCAGCTTCACCCATCCCAGCAGAGGGAAGGGGAGGAGAGATCTCTGTGGGTAAAGCAATGCTGATTATGGCATCTTGTTCTGGATGCTCCTGCCTGTGTCCACCCCAGAAGGGGACTGGGTGGGCTCTGAGGCCCTGTGACCCTCCTGGGTGGGCAGTGTGGGTGACCCTGGTGTTGAGCATCCCTGACCTATCCATGGAATTGCAGCTGCCTCTGGGCAGCAGCACCTTCCAGGCCCAAATTCCCTGCTCCAGAGCTGCAGCCAGACAAAGGAGAGTTTTCTCCTATTTGTTTTCTTTCACCAGTCTTTAAACCCAGTTGCAAATGCTGCTGATAATTAATGAGACTCTTGCTGTTTGGGTGAAGTGCTGAAGGGCAGCCTCCTGCTCCCAGCCAGATGCTCCCCAGCAAACCCATCATGGAGGAGAGGAAAATTTCAGCTTAATTCTGATTCTTTCATACTCCAACAAAAACATCCCTATCCAAGGAAGCCTTGGAAACCTTTCCCTATTAAAAGACCTCCTTGAAATGCATTGTAGCAGCCAAGGAGGGTGGTTATGAAGCACAAAAAGCCTGCAGAAGAGCTCATTAAAACAATAAATTACAACTAATTAGAATAAATCAAGCTAAATCATCTCCAGTGGGAAGGTAAAATGAGGTGTGAGTGAGTGGTTTTAATAAGGATGGTGCTAATCCCCAGCTCCCCTTTAAAATGATGGTGAGTCCTGCTGCAGTAATGATCCAGCTGCTGGGACCAGGGTGGAAAACACACATGGACAAAGAGGAAAGTGGAGCTGAAGGCATTTTGAATTGTGTCCCAGCCTGAGCTGCCTGTCCCTAATTGCAGTGGGTTTGGGGGCAGCACAGCACCCACAGTGGCTCACAGAGGTCAGAGTGTTGGGTTTGCTCACTTTGGGTTTTACTTCTGTTCAATTTGCAATGCACAAAGTGGCTGTGGGGTTTTGCTCCTCTCCTATCACTTCATCACCACAGCCACAGCAAAATGACTTCTCTGCATAATTAGCAGTGAGATCATCGCAGCCGCCTTGGCTCCAAATCATTTCTCCTCCGGTCTCCAAAGAGAAAACTGCTCAAAACAAGGAGAGGAGGGAGGTGTGGGATGAGTGCCCTGCCAGGGTCGGGCTGGATGGGGCACTCAGCAGCCTGCTGGAAGGTGTTCCTGCCCATGGAATCAGAAGGTCTTCAAGGTCCTTTCCCATCCAAACCATTCTGTGGTCATTGAGCAGAAGGTCTTGGAGCTGCCAAGGCAAAAGGCTGATGCTGATGAGAGTGAATCGCTGCTGAGAGCACCTGGAAGGGGCTCAGCTCTGGGGAACACAGAGCCCAGACCAGCGGGGCACTGGTGCAGCAGTGAAGCTGCAGGGACAGCACTGCTCCAGCCTTCCCTGCCTGCCACCTCCCTCCGAGGGATCAGCACTGCTGCCAGTGCTGGAGAAATGTATTGGTTTCATTAAGGTTAAATGATTAGCTCCAGGCCTTGATAATGATACTTAATGGATCTAATATTTTTGGGGGCGATTATGCTGCTGTATACAGTGTGTATGTCATTAATAACCTTCTTTAAACCTCCTTGCTTTCACTGCCACTAATGATGTTCAAGCCCTTCTTATGCCTGAGCCCAATTAGCTGCCAAGAGAGAGGCTTTGTCCCGTGGAGGATGCCTGGCTGTGCTGGGAGGCAGATGCTGATGGTTTGGGCCGGAGGATGTTTGGATTTGGTGGCAGGAGCCACGGGCTGGACCCTGCAGGGGGGTCAGGGCAGCCCTGGTGGGTGCAGGCAGTGCTTGAAAGCCTTGGGACAGCTCTGCTTTGTTCAAAATCACTTTCCCAATCCCATCCAGAGTTCTGCAGGGGGGTTAACACCAGTCAGGGCCTCCCCACGTCCTGGGTTTTGTCACCTCTTGGTTTCTGTAGCTGAGGGTGGTGATGTCAAACACTCCTCACCCCTCTCCTCAGGGGATGGTGACAGATGCATCAAGGGCTCTGTTTTCTCAGGGAAGATATCCCTAAGTCCAGGACACATTATTCCTCTGTGGTCCCCATGCTGGACCAGCCAGGTGGAAGAAGGAATATCACCACCGTCTCCTCATTCCCCCTGAACCTTTCCATCACCCCTGGGAGGAGGAACCAGGCTTGGCTGCTTCTCTGCTCCTTCTCACCCGAGCCTCCTTCCCATCCTCCTGCGAGCTGATTAATCCATTAGGATTAACCTCTCTTTAACTCCTTGATTAGCTGCATTTTAAAACTCCATTTGTTTTCCTTTTTACATCAAGCTGGAGCCAAAAAAAGAGGGCAATTTGCAGCAATACTGATTTAATGCAATTTCTGAAAATCAGGGTGAACGTCGGCAAGGCGTGCTCAGCATTCCAACTCCTCCCAGCAAGATGCAAGGGGCTCCATCCTGCTGGAGGCAGATTTGGGAAGAGCACCACAGAACCAGCATCCACCTGAGTCCC